TCTCTCTCTCTATCACCTCCCCACCCCCCGCCTCTCTTGGGCAAACACACACGCTCATGTGAATCTATGGGATGAATTTGTATTTGCAGATACATTTTATTTTCTTTAAAAAGCACGCAATTTATAGATAGTCAATATAGCATTTAATAAGTTCCTACTTTAGAAATAACACCAGTCTGATTCCAGACTAAAACACAAACCGAATCTAAACAAGGTGTCACACCTAACATCCATTGTCTGACCTAAAATGTCACCTCTTCTTTATAGTGATAAAACCTTTAGTTCTCTCAGGACCATGACTTGAAAGGAATTCGGGGATTTACATACACATATTAATCAATTAAAACCTTCTAATTGATTAAAGATTTGACAGCATCTTAGGTTTGTTTAGTAAACCCTCATCTATGGTGTGAACCTTCGATCTTTTACTTATAAATTCTGTGTCTGATACTACCTCTCTCACTAACACCTGAAGAAGGACTGAGGCTCTGAAAGTGTGTGTTTTCAAATGATCCTGTTGGACTATAACCTGGTGATTTCCGACTCCTGTTTAATATCTGTCGGCCAGGGCTCCCTCATTGAATGTTAACCTGGTCCAATCAGGGATCTCATATTCTATGAAGTCCACCTGGCTGATCTCATTATGTCTTTTCTCTAAGTCTGAGACATAGGTATGTACATTTTCTTGTAGTCTCTCCTGGGGCATTTTCGCACCAGGACCAAATCTTCCACTTCTGTCTCGTATTACGGTAGCATGTGATCTGGTCTCGCCGGGTCCCGAAAGGTTTCAGTTCTGGTTGCGTTGGCCCTTTTGCTTTCTGCCTTAACACCAGCTGTTTTAGTTTTGCCAGGGCTGGATCTTTTTGTATCCACAGTCTGATATTGTCGGTGCTGATCAGAAGGGTGTCCAGAAAGTTTAAAACTGGAACAGATTCTTATAGTGACAGCATCACTGGTGATGTATCTGCCAGCGGGAGGCAATTGAAGGTATCCGCATTTGCTGCTTGGCCTCCCCAATGATGTTACAACTTATAATTGTGCACATTTAGAATGAGACCCCACTGCTGAATTCGACCTGAAGCTATGGTCAGCACTGGTCTGTCTTCTTTAAGTAGGCCTAGCAGGGATTTGTGGTCTGTTTCTATTACAAATTTATGTCCTTAAAGATATTGGTAGAACTTTCTTACACCAAAGATGACCGCCAAACCTTCCTTCTCTATCTGGGCATATTTGTGCTCTGCATTAGCTAATGTCTGGAAAGCATACTTTATTGGGCCTTCCTCTCTGTTGGGCCATCTGTGAGCCAACACTACCCCAATACTGTACGGGGAGGCATCGCATGTCAGCACCAGATCTTGTTTGGGATTATAGTGTGCCAAAATCTTAGATGATGATAGCTGGTTCTTCCCTTCCCTGAAGGCTATATCTTGGCTAAGAGACCATTTCCAAGGCTGACCTTTTTTCAATAGCAGATGTAAGGGTGCCAGGATGGAGGCCTGGTTACGTATGAACTTTCCATAATAATTCAGCAGCCCAAGGAAAGACCTAAGCTCCGGTACAGATGTGGGAGCAGGGGTACCTTTGATTGTCCTCACTTTATCTTGTAATGGGTGTAACCCAGTCTTGTTGACTCTGTAGCCCAAATAGGTCACCTGGAGTTCCTGGAATACACATTTTCCCTTCTAAGTTGTACATCCACCTGGGAGAAATGTCCAAGGACTATGTCCAAATTCTATAAATGCTCTTTGTTGGTCTTCCGTGTTGTTGCATGTCATCCAGATAAATGACACAAGAGGGTTGTGCATGTATGTAATGAGTTGCCAGAGGAAGTGGTAGAGACTGGTATAATTACAACACTTTAAAAGGCATCTGGACAATATGTGAATAGGATGGTACATGCTCCAATGTCTTATGATTTTATAGATGAGCTGGGCATCTTAGGGCCAGGGTACATTGTTAATGAGGTGAATGTGGATCATTGTGAGAAAATTTGCATGATTTTGTGGGAAGAAATCCCTCATGAAACTTTACAAAAATAATTCTGACCTGATTTCTGGGATTCAGCCCATTATTTTTGATCAACTTTGGCAATTGCCTCCATCTTCACACCCCAGTTCTGTTAATCCCACAGTATCGTAGACTCAGACAATTTGTGCCTGCTTGTCAGATATTTCACTGCATTGCGGGCATTTACACACATGGACTTCAAACTTGCCTTAGCATGTCTTATTTCTCTGATGGCTGATCACACTGGAGTTATGAATATTGTTGTAACGCTGTTTGTTTCTCAATTCTGGCACCTCGTTTCTATACTCACTGCTTCACCCTGGTTCCTCTACTGTTGCCTCTTTAGCTTAAGTTCTCCCTCTCAAACTTGCGTTAAACCCCTTTTGAAGATGTTGGTCCCAGTCCCCTCTGGTACAGATTACAACTGTTACTAACATCACTGACAGTTATTCTGAACAAAGAGATTTGTTCTGGTTGAGACTGAGACACAAACCTGTTGAGACAAAGTCTGTTTCATAAGTAATGTACACTGCTCTATGTCTCTTGGAGGCTGGGAGCCGGTTTTGTTAACTAGTTCTCTTGTTACATAGTTTTGGTAGTTTTCTTGTTGAAGTCAACCGAGGAAAGATGATTACAGTCTCTTAATAGGGCAGAGCTTTGTGATTTTTCTGTTTGTACAGCGTGTCTAGTTGATGTGAATGGGATAAATTCTGCAGAAAGAATACAGGGGATCATATTCAACACACACACACACACACACACACACACACACACACACACACACACA